TAGCAATATTTTTAGCCACTACTTCTAGAATTCCATCTTTTCACTGCTAAATACTAATTGATAGCCAGAAATCAAAAACACCAACTATAGTGTTAGCTAAAGACAGTGTGTCTTTTTGTGTCCCGAAGTAACAAAATTCTTAAATAAGTAAGCTATTTTTAGAGTGATTATTAATTTGAATAATATTTTTACAGATGTACGTGTGCGAAGAATGCGGTCATACCACATCAGAACCGGAAGAACACTACATGCACCTTAAGAAGCAACACCCTTACTCGCCTGCACTACTCAAGTTCTACGACAAGAGGCACTTTAAATTCACGAACGCATCGTTCGCAAATCAACTGTTGGGACAACTACCGATGCCTGTTCACAACTGAATATTATAAATATTTACGACTGATGACATAAATTAACAATTATCTCAATTTAATACTGAGATCTTTAGGTACTTAATAATTTATTATTCGCTTTTTTCAATTTGGAAATATAACAATGAAATATGTTATGCGAAGAATAACGAATTTATTCCGTCCGTTATTAGTGACTCAAATCGAATTGATTCAATTGACTTTAAATTTCCCAGTGCTTTATAAAATCAATGTGCACTAAACTCTTATTAGTAATAATGAACATTGTCTTCCAAACTATTTGTAAACATTCCTCGTTTTAAAACAATTCGTATTGATGTATGGAACTTTATTAATTTAAAGTTCTCAAAAATACCTTTATTTTTTAACAGTCAAATAAAAATACACTAGCCTTATAGTTAGGCATGACTGCAATTAAAAAATCAAAGTATCGGGTATTATGTGCAATCTTTGGTGATGGTACGGGATTATGTATAAGTTTAGTTTCTAACATAGGATAAAGATAGATAACTTTAGTTTTAAGATATATTTGAAGTTATTAAAATCGTAATTGTGAGCTTGATTTTAATTCAGCGTTGGACTTCGTTGGTAACAGTATGGTGCTAGGTGGAAAGCAAGTAGCCGCTGACTTAAAATGAAGCCGGGTATGGATCGGATGACACTTCTTGTCCGATTCATAAGGTTATTGTATCAAGCGTTTCCTAAGCTTGATGAAAAATTAACTCCACAATAAGGAATCTCTTTCCTCGATTTAGTGATACTAGCTTCTAATTATCTATCAATATGTTAACACAAAACTTTGTCACAATTTTTATGTGTTATGTACTTAATGTTATGTTTGTTCTTTGTTGGTACTTAATATGATGTGAATTTTTTTTTGTAAATTGATGTGACCTCGGAAGGTCACTATATGTCGTACCAATTTTAAATGCATTTCTAGAAATATTTATATTATTTAAATTATATAATTGATCGGTTACAGTTTGTGCTGTGAATGAGTGTGAGAATTATTCGTGTAATTAAGTTATTTAATGATTTGGTTGTTACTGCATTATATTACATAGATGACGCGTCGCGAGAACGTGAAGCGCTTCTTCCAAATTAAATATTATAAGAACAATAAGATGCTCAATTTTTTGGTACATTTGCGCTTTCACAGCGAAGCTTGTGGATGAATTTTTAAACTGTAAATATGTCTGAATATAGTAATTAGTAGTAAAAATTTGAGATGTAATATCATCAACTTATCTTAGTAGTACCTAATTAGTGTTTATGAGATTTTAAAAAAATGAATAAATTGTTAAAGTATTTTTTACGATTTGTAAGATTTGATAGATCTGAAAATTATAAATATATTGGCTTATCATCGGTATGTTTTTATACAAATAAATATTAGAGCTGTATCTCGATCCTAACTAAATACTTGTCAGTTGCATTTACTAGCATTTTCATTGAATTGTCAAACTTAAGTTCATATTTTAGACACAATCATTTTGTTATTCTGTACTGATAAGCAATATATCATGATTAAACATATCTCTGTTGTTTTATTAACACTCTAATTAAATAGATTAATACTGCTCAAGAACAAAAATCCGATTTTAGTTATTCAGTCAAAAAAAAAACTTGCCCAAATTAATAAAATAAATAAGCAATGAATTAGTAGCAAACATTGTATTTTAAAATCTTACTACTATTATAAATACGTATGTTTGGATGGCTGGATGTTTGTTTGAAGATATATCCAGAACGGCTGCATGGTTCTCGCTGAAATTTGGCATAGATGTAGAACAAAGTCTGGAAGAACACATAGCCTACTTATTGAGTTTTTTTTTTCATCCCGCGCGGACGGATTCGCGGACGACCGCTAGTCATACAATAAATACAACCAACAGAATCTAAACGATAATTACCATATCATTTTAATCTAATGCTTGAATCAGATTACGATGGTAATAAAACAAATTGATTTAGTTATTTCTCTAGAGACAGAATAACCGGGTAAAATGTTTTATAGATAAGATATTAAAACGATATTACATTTACTTAGGACCAGTAACATTACAGTCATATTTATAACGCGACGATGAATCCTAAGTTAATTCTAGCAAGAGAATACTGTACGAAATTTGATAATAAATTACTTTGGATTATTAAATTTGCGGGATTTTTTCGCTTCACAACGAAAAATGGAAGAATTACACCTAAAGAAGCATCAACTAGTATATTAAGAGCGGTTCTAGCAATAATATCGGGCAACTTTTCAGCATTTTATATGTTCTATATTTGTTACTGGAAAACTAATTTTCTAACAATAGCTGAAGTTATCATTTTAACACTTTTTGCTTTATTACAAAATATTATTTTACTAAACATTGCGATACCGAATAGAAATTCTGGTTTGACCCTTCTTGATTATTGCTACGAAATTGATATACTCTTTGGTGTACTGGAAACGAAGTTCATGAGAGATACAGTGGATAAAGCATACCTAATAGTAACTATTTTTATTGCTTCATTTCAAGGTGTAACTGTGGTCGTGTTAATTTTTGCCTATCCAACACCGTTTTCTATCCACGTTGTGGGTACCGTTTACTTTGGTCTTTTATTTTTCATCTTTTACGATGTTTGCTTTTTACTAACAATTTATGTTTTTGTCGCCTTAAGAGTCCATTATATTAACGTAGCTATAATTAAAAGAGCTAATTTAAATTCAGAATATTTTCCAAAGCAATTCCTATTCGATGGATTAATATGGAAGAAGGAATTCGATGATTTGGTAACATTTCACAATTTTGCAAGTTCGGATGATTTTGTTGAAGGGTTTAAAATTATTTTCAAGATACTACGACAATTAGAAAAGTGTTATCGATTCACGGTACATTGTTTATTAAAAGCTATCAACGTAATTATAATTATGTTTAACATTTTGATATATATATATGTATTTCTAGGTGTTTGTGGGCATGTGTACGGTGACAATAGGTACATTTTTGTGTGTACCATCTGTTATAACCTACGACAAGTCTACGGTAAATATTAAAAAAAAAATCTTGCCACTTTACGGAACTCTTTATTTATTTATTTTAATTTGCTTCACAGGATTTTAATACGTTACGAATAGTATGCATTGTTGGCTGGGTACTTCTAGGCTGGTTGTATGAATACGGAATTAGCCAACAAACTGATTTGTTTTGTCGACAAATAGACAAGACAAAATTAGTATGCACCTATATACAACTCAAACCGAGCAGCAGTGGTAAGATTATTGTTCTTAGTTCTTACGAATAACAGCAATATAGGACAACAAGCTCACTGAAAACCATATACCTTGTTCGTTTGCGTTTTATCAATCTTTGCAATTACTTCTCAATTTTAGGAATGCGTTGTGGAGAGTATCGAATTTCAAAATCAAGGATTGGTTATTGTTTATTCAAGTGTATTATTTTTCAGATGATATTTTGGAACTGACCAAAAGAATTCTACGTACATTAGAGTTTCGCGATCCACGACTATCGTTGTACGGAATGTATTATCTGAACACTGGCTTGGTGCTGCGCATTGCCGCTTCCAGTTTCGTCTACATCACTGTTCAACTACAGATATTAATTCCGGCAATAGAAGAAAATAGAACCGACCTATCTACCACACTACCTCAACATATTTCATAACTGTTTTGAAATAAAGTTTTTGTTCGATTATATTGTTTTCATAAAACGTTTTTTCGTTGATTTTGGGTGCAAACGATGTAAATATCAGCCAGTTGTGATCCAGTTTGAAGCTTTAGAACCTTCTTATTTCAAATTACAAACTTCTTGGCTGTCGTGTCTTTAAATAATGGATCGTCACGCTTTTCAATATAGTTTCTTAAAGGCATTTACAAAAACTATCATTGACTCGTCCTTGACGATGACTGTGCGCATTGGTCCTAACAAATTAAAGACTGCTGACCGTGCGTCAAATGTGCTGCTGTATTAAAAATGTAGTAGAACATGCATTTGGTCATTTGCTAAGGTGTCATAGTGATGCAATCATCACTATGACACCTTAGCAAATGTTACATGTGAATCCCTTGAATAGTTAAACCACTAAACGCGCTCAACTTCCTTTGTAACTTAAATCGAATTTTAACATTCGGGTCGTATTATACACGTATGTATGAAAAAAAATATAATTAGTAGCCTATGAGTTCTTCCAGACTGCGTTATATATGTATGCCAAATTTCATCGAGATCCGTTCAGCCTTTATGGAGGTACCTTCAAACATCCAGCCATCAATCCATCCATCCAAACATACGCATTTATAATATTAGTATGGTAGTAAGTACTACATAATTAAACTTTAATGTTCCGTAAGCATTTTTTTATTTACTCTTTACTAGGCTTAAGTTATAAAAAAAACATACATGATGCCAAAAAATTAAACCAAAGTTAACGTAGATACAAATTTATTACAAGTCAAAATTAAACAATAGATGATGAGTATTTCAAATGATTTTCAATAATTAGTCATTGATAATTGCGGAAAATGAAAGAATTTGAATAACAAAGGTTTCGTGCGCAATACCATATTAGTTCAGGTGTTTTATCAGTGTCCGTTTTTCGTTCAAAAACAAGGTGTATATAATATGTTTGTATCACGAATTCTTTTAGTATTCGTTCAGTTGTTGTAGAATACGTTAGCTATCATGAAACACGTACTTTGCTTTTTGGTTATCTTAGCACTGTTTGCATGCATGGTAAGATTTTTTGGGAATTAAAATTTTGAACATTTTTTCAAAGCTACACAAATAGTTATTGAAATATAAAATTGGATTCACCTTTTTAATTTTTGTTTTTTTTTCAGTTTGCTATGCCTACTGACGGTAAGTGATTTTATTCAAATTATAATTTTTGTAATACGGTTTTCATTTATGGTAGCTGGATGTTTGTTTAAAGATATCTCCGGAACGTCTTAACGGATATTGCTAAAATTTGTCATAGATGTAGAATATAGTTTGGGAGAACACATAAGCTATTTATTAAGTTTTTTGTTAGCTAGTTCTAATATAAACCTATTGGTTTAATATCGAGTTGACAAGTCTAAGCTACATTGTTTTATTTCCAAACAATAGCAGACGAGTTACTTTCTAAATATTCATAATAATATTATCTTTTTTAGGTGACAAAAAAGATCCACCTACGCCACCAAAGTCGCCGAATGCAATGGCCTACTTTGGGAAGGCCGTGGCCGACTGGACCACCGGCATGGAAAAATTAGTACCCGGTAAGAAATTATTCTAATTCATCAAATAATAATGTATGTGTGATAAATTAGCATTATCATCTCAACACACTAAAGATTCCCACTAAAGGATTCGGCGCCTAACCCAAGTGGGTGTTGAATACATACATACATTTTTTCGTAGACATGTGCAGGTTACACCACTATGTTTTCCTTCGCCATAATAACTTCATCTGATAAATTGAATACTTGAATACTTGTCGGTATTTGAACCCAGGACCTGTAGATTACAAGTCAAGTGTTTAACCCCTGAGCCACCGACACCACAATTCAGTGTGAACAACTTCAATATTGCCTTAATACTTTTAATTTCTTTATAGCAACATTTATTTTTAACAAAGTCAGTGTTTTAAAGTTAATTTTCTTTTCAGGTAACTGGTAATAAATGAGGCAGCTATTAGTAATTTAATATGTCATAGTTTAAAATTAAATGGTTAGAAGATATTTATTTTAGTTTTATTTACGAATTTTAAGACCTTATCATTTGTGATTCCAAAGTAAATGTAAGTAAAGAAAACATTTTAAACTAATATCAACTCCAATTCTATATCTGCAGCACCCGTAATTGTAAAAGGCTCGGTGAAAAGTAAAAAATACGAGGCATTTAAATAAAAAACCCCACATCCGTACATATAATAAAATTGAAACCTGTAATATCGAAAAAAAATCCATATTTCGAGACGTATACTTAATAACGAAAAACCAATTAAATAAAAATTGTCTGTCTGTCTTTATGTATGTCTGCAAGATCGTGTTTGTTCCGGATAATCTCCGAAACGGCTAAGACGATTTTGACGGGATGTTAGCTAATGTGTAACGGAATATTAAATGCTACTGTTTTTTTTTTATTTCCGGTAGTTTTCTAATAAATTTAAACATATTTAAAGTGTTAATCGCTTATTATGAATTAATAAAACTCTGTCGATTCAATGTTGTTTTTATTTCTACCAACAAAAAAAATCCATTGAATACGATATTTTAAGTACATTTCCATGAACTAATTATAACAAGTGAAATATTAAATAGTAAAGCTTATTTTGTGCCTTTGTATTTATACAACAAATTAGAGTAAATTATAAATAACGTTTTAAGCACATGTCTTTTAAAATGTTTAGTGTAATATGGGTTTTTGACTACTGTGATACTGTCATACTGTCATCTCTTACAATCTCTTTGAAATAATAGAGACAACGGAACCCAAAGTTAAACAAAGATATTTAACCGAATGTATCTTACATTTAATTTATTATACAAAATAATGACGATTAAACGTTAAGATTAAAAAGTACATAATTTCATGCTAACTTTATTAAGTTACTATTTAAAAAAATTCGTGACGCATTTTTTACTTAAAATCAAAATCTACTAAAGTTCTAGTCAGGTTAAAAATTATTTAAAAAATGGGACCCACCTGCAAGCAAAACCTTTCGATCAAAAAAAAATCGGAGCACCTATGGCGGAGTTACGAGGTAACACACACAAAAAAATTAAAAAAAGATGAATTGATAACCTCCTTCTTTTTGAAGTCGGCTAAAAAGTGTATAAACTCATTAAAAAAACATTTAAAAATAAAAAATGACATTAGGCTAATTTGATTATATCTACAAAAACCACTTCAAAAAGATGTCATTTACATTTTTAACTAATATAAAAAAATGAGCATTTGATAAACTATTACAAATTAATTTTAAAAAATCTCATCATTACATAAACAATTATTACACTTTTTGCATTTAAGTTTATCTGGATTGCATTATTATTTTCACAGTAGATTGATTTTTGACGTAAAAAAATAAAAAAGACTGTAAAACATACAAACGTGTAAGTCAACTATTAAGTAAAAATTCCAAAAAAAATTTGAAAAAAAATTTTTTTTTGTTAATTCTCTACCATAGAAACCAATTTTTTAACCGATTGAAAATATAGTAATATATATTTTTGAGTCTTTTGTTCAATATCTGTATGTGAATTGCTGTAATCTGTGACTATTGAAATGAGTATTCATATTTTCTTATTCTGAGAAAAATATTAAGTTGCCTGTACTTTTATTTTTTGCATTACGAAAGAAGTGAAACCTTTTTAATTAGCATTTAATAAAAACTATGAGTACGAATTAGGGGAGTGAGTTAACTTTCATCTAAGACCTATTTACGTACCTATTTGTTTGTGCTAATTTTCTAACATTTTTAATTTATAAGTAATTATAAAAACCCTTAACATGAATTGGACTGAATACTTAAAAAACAATACTTACGTTAACTTTGAAACGCAATATTTATGCTTAAATCTATAAAAAAAAGTCAATAAAATTTAAGGCTGATGAAAATAGAGGCACTAATTTCAATTCTACTGACTAAGGTCCTACTGAAATACTTAATATTAATATACTATAGCTAATAGTAATAATATAATAATTAAATTAATACTCCTTTCCTGTCTCTGCGCATGTTGAATGGCGCGGAGAGTGTGGATGTGATGGAGTTGTTGCTGCCCATTGACTCCGCCTTCGTACCTCGCTCTGTGCTCAAAGACCTTTTATCCTTCGTCATTTGTGACACCTGCAAAGTCAAAATATAGGTGAAAATATCTTACCAATATTATAAATGCAAAAATTAGATGTACGTATGTATGAAAGTTTGTTAGAAGGTATCTCTAGAAAGAGTCAACGGATCTCGATGAAATTTGACATGGATGTTGTTTTTGTGTTTTTGTGTATAATTTTCTGCGCGCACGGAGTCACAGGTGACACCTAGTAATATTATAAATGCGAACATTTGGATAGATGTTTGTTAGATCTCCAGAACGTTTTCTTGGATCTGGATGAAATTTGGTACAAACATAAAATACTCTCTGAAAGAACACATAAGCTACTAATTAAGTTATTTTATTTTTTGAAGGTCATATTTGTATGGAACAGTTGTAATGTATGAGTCGTGTATGAGTTACAGCGTCATCGATGGCCTTGAACTGCCAGTTCCAGTGCACGCGGTAGAGGAAGGGGCGGTGGTCGTAGCGGTTGTCGTCGGGGCTGTAGGTCTCCGCGTGGTACGCCGGCGTCAGCACCGTCATCTTGTGCCGGTTGATCGCGTAGCAACGGAAGAAATGCTTCACTTTCTCCGCAACCTAAACACATTCTACTTGTATCTCCAAACATATCGAATCGATGGCTCAGATGTTAAACACTTGTAATCTGCAGGTTCGAATTCCGCCATGTACCAAAGTGTTTCTTTACTAAAACATTGGCAGATTTTTTGTTAATTTACTACTATTTTTTGTACCATTCCAACTAAGTTCTATGCCTGTGCTATTCGAACCCCCGACCACTAGATTGGAAATCCGTACCCTTAAGCATTAGGCTATTGACACTTCTTGTTTCAATGTTCTATTTACATATGACCATTTATCCAACGTTTTTAAGGTAATTTACATAAGTCAATGGCTGACAGGCTAAGGTTTTGTTTTGAAAAGTTTTTATGTTTACATACAAGATACTACGTTTAAATACAAGAGTATACAAATTTATTTTTAACAATTCTATGATTCTTAAAAAGCTAAAATTGTTTAAGAAGGCTTATCATTTACAATATTAATTTTAAGAAATTGAAAAATATAGGCTCCCAAGTACGTACTTCTTGTGGTGTACATTTATTGCTCCAGGAATGTACCAGTTTCTGGTACATGCTGAATGGTCCGCAATGGTGGGTCTTCCTGAGGCGACCAAACTCCGAGAGTTCCGCGTACGTCATACCCATGTCTTGCTCATCAGTCTGCGTCACCTGACCGTCCGCGAGCGGCTCCAGCTCAGCTGTAGGCGGCGCCTGCAGGATCTCTGATAGAGATGGCAAGAAGAACCTGCAAATTGTACACCTAATTATAGAATTCAAAATAAACAATAACATAATCACGGCCGTAACTCAGAGGGGTAAACAGAGAACCACGGATCTCCATTTACCGCAGTCCTGACACCTCTTTCGCACATTCATACATCCACATTCATACATCCACATTTATACATACATGCACATAATTTTCGGATGCTCTTAATACTTTTATTGAGTAATTTATCAATCTGTACTGTATAATTCCGTCTGAGATGGCCCAAACCAACACAGCCGCTCACTTTTGCGCTATACCTTTGTTAATATCCTTTCATTCTTCTATACAAAGTCTCCAAACTATATAATCATACATTTTTTAAATCTACTCACATCCTCTCTTATGAAAGAATTCAATAAAAATTTGAAATTATAATTAAACATGTGACATTTAAACTCCGTACGATTAAAAAATTAAACAACGGCAATGTAGTACAATACACATGAGAATAAAATAAAAAAAATGTTTGTCTAAAATCTTTATAGTTTTTACTAAAAAAAACTTGACAGACAGACGGACAGACAAAGTATAAGTGTTACGTTTTTTTCCTTACGAGGTACGGAACCCTAAAAGCAAAACATTAAACAATTATAAAATATCACTTACCTATTCTTAGCGTATTGTAGGAAAGATTTCAAATCAGTTTTAGATATACCGCCTATAGGATTAACATCTGCGCTGGAACAATCGTACTTTGTCATATAACCTCTGAGAGCTTCGTCTACATTAGACGAGCCTAACACTAGCAAGCCGCCCGGCCTGCCTCGCGCCCACAGCATTAGCTGCGCGAATAAATACGATAACACCATACGTAGCCGAGCCTAAAATGTATATTATATATTAAAAACTATAAAAACATACCAATAAAATCGACAATTTAAAAAAAATGTTTTATTTAAAGCAAAATTCAATATAACAATAAAATTAATGCATCGTTTTAAAAGAATCTACAGTCGTAAATGAATAAGAGAGAAACCTCTATAAGCGAGATTCAGCCTGATCAACTATACAACGTTCATAAGCGAGAAATTAGGGTTAGAAAGAAACTTATATAAGCAAGAGTCATTGTCTAGTCCCGACAGACTACCTCCGAAAGTGAGAAACTCGGGTTAGAGAGAAATTTCTATGTTGTTATATTTCTGTGTTCTTATATAATATACTCTGAGAAGCCATCAAACTTATCATTTCTAGACATTATCTAAATTTAATCTTACTTCTTACTAATATTATAAATGTGAATGTTTGGATGGATGTTTGAAGGTATCTCCAAAACGCCTGAACTAATCACGATGAAATTTGGCATACATATAGAACATACTCTGGAAGAATACGCGGACGAAGTCGTGTGCGACAGCTAGTATTTAATATTTATTTATTGTAATTTTAGAACTAATGAAAATTATACATTTACACTGAGAATGTTTCATTCTATTATTTATGTCAAGTTCAAATTCCTACCTGTATATTTTGCAAGGCGAGATTTTGCCTAGGACATCCACCTTTGCTCCTGAACTTAGGCACAAGACCTGTTGCGGTTGTAAATATACCCAGTACTGCGCTCACCGCAG